GGACAAATACATGCCACTGACTTGACTATGGCTAGAAAGCACAAGCCCAGGAACCAAGTATGAAGGTGAGCAGAGGGTTGAACTCTGTTCCACCTAAAGAACCTCTCAAAAAATGTCTTCCAGTCCCCACTGCTCTCAGAGTACCTGGGGAAGGACTTGTCTACCAGGCGGCATGGTAATAGCTTCTCCAACCTAGAAGCTGAGAACACCACTTGGCTTTTCCCACCTCCTTATGCCACAGGGGGAGCAGGAGGAAAAAGGGGTCTCTGTGTGTGATTAAGCCTGGGTAGGCCCTGTCACTTACTTCACCTCCACGCCTCAGTCTCCTCGTCTGTAAAATGAGGATGAACACTTAAACAATGCCTGGTGCACTGCAGGAAACTCCAGAAGTGCTAGCCATTCCAGTCTGACTATCCAGGGACATGGAGTTGTCAGTAAGCAATGGGAACTGGAAGGTGAACAGGTTCAGCCCAGCAATCCCCTGGAACCCCTCTTTCTGTGCCAGTGTCTGGCAGTAAACAGTCACTGCATTCTACATAGAAAGGACCCCCCAGGGCCCAGAACCTTTGGGAATGGAGCTCAGCATTGCCCCAACAGGGAAAGACCTCAGGGAGCTAAGACCCAGCTGGAAGGGAAGGGTGTGAGGAATGGACATGAAGTTCCTGTCATCATGTGGCTCCCCCAGGTAGCTCCTGACTGGCCCACAGCACTTCATCCCTGAGTCTTCCTCTGCAGCCTCACATCCACCCTCATCCAGGCCCCTCGTCCATGAGGGTGGCCCCACCCCTTCTCCTCCAGCCCACTTCTACCTGCACCCTCTGCAACACCCAGTTCCCAGAGCCCAGGCAGAGCTCCAGGCGTGGCTTCCTTTCCCCTGAGCAAGGCACTCACAGCGCTTCTTGACTGACCCTGATCCTCCTCCACTCACGATCACCATCGTTCCCTACCTGCTGGCCACCCTCCTGTTCCGCGCTTGGAGTTGGTCATGCTCTCCTGTGCATCTCTGCATGTACCAAGCCCTCTCTCTGGGACACCCACCCTGTCAGCCCCTGGCTCTCTCCACTCTGTCCTTCGAGTCAGCCCTGTGTGAAGTAGGGGCCCCTCCCCTGCTCCCACCACACCCTGGGGTCACCTTCATCATAATTCTGATTATACCACAGAGCGTTCTAGCTTCCCCTCCCAGCGCCTTGAAGGACACACTAGTCCCTGCAGCCCCCAGCGCCTGCAAAGTGCCGGCACATCACAGTTCCCGGATGGGAGTCAACCGGTCTTGCCTCCTCTTACCCTCATGTAGCCGGGGCTGGGGGAGGGCCGCCCACAGAAACACTTAACGCAAACTCTCAAAACTAAAAAACAGTGAGGATTGAGAGAGGCTTCCTTTGTTAAAAGACAGCAAACTGTTAGATTTCAAAAATAACTTAAGACGGGATTTCTTTTTTATTCTCAAGCAAGCAGCCAGACATTGCCAAATCTATTTAGAAGGTTCACCAAGAGGCTGCTAATTCCACCCTGGTGGTCCATCAACCAGCAGGACACTTCACTTGGGGGCATGCGAACTGGGGATCCCTGATCCCGGGGTTACTCGCCAAGGTCGGGGCTCCTCTGAGTGGGGGAGGGGGCTCTCAGGGCCCCCAGAAGAGGCTGGCCCCCACTCCCACTCGCCCTCAGTCCCAAGGACCTGCTCGCAGCCTGTCGGCCCCCATCCATGCCGCCTGCTTGTAGGGACTCGTTTTAATTAATGCCAGAGCTGGGCCAACCACTGGGGCCATGACACTTGTTTGCAGGTCATCTCCTCCCAACAGGCTCACCCTGGGAGGGGATTTGTCACTAATTGAAGCAGAGATCAGTTAATGAGGCCGTGGGACCTGGGGTTCCAGAGAACAAGGGAAAGGAAAATAAAGCCTCTTTCTTCAGAGGTTTTGTGATTTACACACACAAAAGAAAAGAAAAGCAAGCAAGCTGCCGATTTTCCAAGTCAGAAACTCCACTCCATCTGCCAGAGTTAGACCCTCACTGTGTGAAGACGTCAGGCAGAGGGACGCTGCCACCGCTAGGACTCGCACATCAGAAAGGAGAGGGGCCTCAAGGCCAGCGATCAACCAGTGGCCTAATTAAGAAGTATTTATGGGGCAGTGGCCTGTGCTCCTCTCCATGGGGGAGAAACCATGGTGCCTGTCCCTGGGTAACTTGTAATCCAGTGGGGATGGGGCTGAGACTGTAGAACACTGAGGGGAAGGGGACATGGTGAAATAGAGTATGAGTAGGGAGGACAGGAGTTTCCAGGACTTGCGGGGAGGGAGAGTGGTATGGGCTGGAGCCTTTCAAGGGCTGCAGGAGCTCCCAGAGGGAGAAAGGAGGGAGTCCCCAGCACAGGCACAGCCCCAGGTGAGGCCCAGCCCCTGCCCAGCAAGATCTCAGCTCTGGGAACCCCAGAGGGCTCCAAGTCCCCCAATAACTCTGTCTTCAGAACCCATATCACACAAATCTGTGCTAGGTTTGCCTTGGCAAGTGTTGGGATGGAATGGCTGACGGTCCCTCAGTTGGGGCAGTGAGGACTGGACATACAGAGGGCTTGGAGCTCTCAGAAAAAGTTTTTTTTGAGACAGGGGTTTGCTCTGTCGCCCAGGCTGCAGTGTAGTGGCACAATCATGGCTCACTGCAGTCTTGACCTTCTGGGCTCAAGCGATTCTCCCACCTCAGCCTCCTGGGTAGCTGGGACTACAGGTGTGCACCATCATGCCTAATTTTTTTGCATTTTTGGTAGAGATGGGATTTTGCCATGTTACCAGATAGGATTTTGCCATGTTACCCAGGCTGAGAAACTGAATTCTTATTCTCCGTGCCCCAGGCCTGCAGAAGGAAGTCCAGCAGGACAATGATCCCCTTCACTCACGCCTTTCCATTCAGGGCCACTCAGCATCCTTCCCTATGTGGCTCCTCTTCCCACCTCACCCCTGAGTCTCAAAGAAGGGAATGGGATTTTTGATCTGTTAAGCTAAGCCTACCATCAGCTTCTCTCATCACAAGGAACAAGGTGGAGGTGACAGAGCCCTTTCCCCGACTCAGGAGAGCCCTTGGCCTTCACTCAGCAAGTCCCCAGAATAAGGAACCCCCAGTTTGTCAGAATCCCAGATGAAGTCTCCAGCTGGGCTGCAGGGCAAGTAGGGTGGCGGGTCAGCAGTCTCTTAGTGAGTCATCTGAATAGGTCTGCAATGTCTGGCTTCTTGCTTTTGTGAAGACGTAAGGATTTAGGGAAGAGATTTTGGGCATGAGATGGGACATCCCACTTCACAGCTATTTGGAGATGACTTGGTCTATGTGGGAGTGAAATAAATGAGGCCATTTCAGGACAACCCCAAATCCCTCCTTTAGAAGAATGGTGAATTCAACTGTAGTGTATGGTACAATGGGTGACTATACAGCTGTGAACAGTTATAATACAGTATTTACTTAATGGCACTGGAAAGATGAGGAAAGTAGGTTTTACCAAAAGGTTACTATATATGAATGTTTCATTACATGTGAATATTTTCTTTTTCATTAGAGATAAGATTTTGCTATGCTGCCCAACTTGGCCATATGTGATCCTTCCATCTCAGCCTCCTGGGTAGCTGGGAATACAGGCGCACACCATCTTGCTCAGCTGAATGGTTTTTTCCTAATTTTTTTCAATTTTTATTATTTATTTATTATTACCTTTTTTGTTGGGGAGATGGAGTGCAGTGGCGTGATCTTGGCTTAGTGCAACCTCTGCCTCCCGGGTTCAATCAATTCTCCTAGGTTGAATAGCTAGAATTATAGGTGCCCATCATGATGTCGACTAATTTTTTTATTTTTTTAGTAGAGATGGGGTTTCCTCATCTTGGCCAGGCTGGTCTTGACCTCCTGACCCAGGTGATCCGCCTGCCTCAGCCTCCCAAAGTGTTGGGATTACAGGTGTGAGCCACTGCACCAGGCCTTTTGTTTTTTTAAATGGGGTTTCGCTGTGTTGCCCTGGTTGAAGTGCAGAGGCTGTTCACAGGTGCAATTATAGCACACTACAGACTCCAACACCTGGGCTCAAGTGATCCTCCCACCTCAGCCTCCTGAGTAGCTGGGACTACAGGCGTGCCCCACTGTGCTTAGCTATGTGAATGTTGTTTGGTTTTCGTTTTCTAATTATTTTTTCTTACCAGTTACATTAATTCATTGTGTAATGAATGAAATGATAGAGTTGTGAAGGGGTCCTTTGCCCTCTAATGTCGGCTATAGAAGGCCAGTCCAGTGGGGATCCAGAGAGAGCCAGATGTAGGCACAGGGGTGGGCTCAGGGCGGGACGAGCGTGCAGAAGGCCCTGGCAGCTTGAACATCTACTCCGGCTCTGACCCAGGCCCCTGACTGTGTCACTTGCCCTCTGACCTCCTCTGGGAAGCAGGGAGTCACACCCACCCTACGCTCACGCTCGGTCTCTGAACCTCCCCTAATGAGTAGCTGCTCTGGCCTGAAAGTACTGTGGAGACACAGAGTGAGCCTAATGCCCCTGTCTTCAGCACTGACAAGTCTTCAGGAGAGGATGGACGTGTGACACCAGTAAGGCCACAGAGAGGGAACAGCAGCGCCCTAGCAGCTCAGCAAGAGTTCAGGGAAGTGGGCACATGGGCCAGCCTTGCAGGGTCATTCCTGTGCACCCCCCGCCCCAGCCACATTACTGAGAACGAGGAGCGGCTCTTCCGCAGAGTGCTGGGCAACTGCAGCCCCACTCAAGAAAGATGTCCTGCCTTGGTGCCCCTGGGCACCACCTCACCTCCTCACCTGCTCTCCAAAACAGGGAGCACCAGGTTGTGCTTTGTCTACCGGAGCCTCTTCTTGGCCTGGAAAGCCTGTCCCGACAGCCCACCCACAGGAACCTGTCTCCCACATCCTTGCCTGGCCTGGCCCTCAGAGAAGCATCCATGTGCAATGCTGAGTACGGTGGCTCCAGAGCAGCAGAGCCAAGAAGGAGCAAGGGAGGGAGTACTCACAGCAATGGAGACGGCGCTGATGACAGCTCCCAGGTAACCCTGGATGAACTTGGATGCAGGTGAAGGCTGTAAAACAAAAGAAGAATTTCAGGCCCACTGGGTACCCAAAGCTCCCATATTCCCCCTCGTACACTGTCCCAGCCAGCAAGAAGCATCCTGCCCTCCAGCCTGGAACGTGGGTGAAAAGAGGCCCCACAGGACCACAAGGAATTGGGCCATCCTCAGCTCAGTTCCCAATGAAGAAATATAAAGCTCTATTATCCAAGGAGATGCTGAAGGGCCTACTTCACTCCTGCCCTGTTGTAGAAAGGTCACTTGGCAGATAGTGCTAGCTGGCGGTGGAGAACAGCAAGGCCAACATGGACCACTGATGGCTGGGGCAAGCAGTCTCCGGTTTAGAGGCTAAATGTTGCAAGGGGGCTGTTTGGCACCTGGAGCGCTTTCTAGGTGGAAATGCCAGGGTCAAGGCTCTCATAGGCCTGGTCAGCCCATGGAACAACTGGGCTCCTATGTCAACAGATGATAGCTGCCCAATATCGCTACAGAAAAATATACCCCAAGTTCCAACACAGACAATTAAGAAAAAGCTAAGGAACTTGTCCTGTGCTACAACTGCAGGTTTAGAGATGTTTGGTTTAAGATAAATGGGAGTCATCCAAGCAGAGATGTCCATATATGAAGCCTATGAGAGAGACCTGGAGTGGAGGTTTAGATGTCAGGGGTACTCACAGAGTATCAGGCCTCTCAATTCCTATGGCCCAGGCCAGCTCCTAACTCGATGGCCCTCCTCTCCCGCAAGGTTAGCAAATGTTAAGACTCTCCTCTACCCCCAAACCAACCGGCTCCCAAAGGGGACCTAGATACATCCTGCATTTTTTGCCTTTGAACTGAAGTGGGGGAAGATGTGGCCTTGCCAGCAAAGCAGGGGCCCAGCAGCCCTTCCTGGACAACAGAAGGGTGACTAGGCCTCCACCACAAGCTCTCCAAGGAGTGCAGGGGACTTTGGAGAGGAGGTACCAGCCCTGGATCCTCCCTACTCAGGAGCGGCTCTTCAGCCTGTGGCCAGCAGTCGGGAGCTGGGGACACTGAGGCAGCTTCCAGAAAGCTTGGAGGAAGCTTTAGGGGAATTTGGCCCCAAGTAGCTGATATCATCATGATCCAAAACCCATGTGTAAGAGCTATCAAAGAATCCAAAAGCCAGCGGAACTCATCCCTTGCACTGCTCCCATTTAATGGCCCTTCTTCACTTCATGTAAACAGCCCCTCCCCAGAGGACTCCCAGCCCAGAGACTCCTGCTGACCTCAGCCAAGTATTGTCTGAGTCAGCCAATCAACCTGAAGGGTTGGCATTTTAAATACGATATCTGGAGGAGGGCAATGCTTAACCAAGAAGCAGCCACTGATGGTGACATGTCACGCTGTAGGGAGGCTCACTGGGCCTTCTCATCCTGAACCCCACTACTGGGCAGAGGGCAGTGATGCTTACCTTGGTAGCATTGCGGTTTGCATAGTTGACACAGGCATTGTGGCTCTGGTTCAGCCACTGAAAGGCAATGATGAGAGAAGTCAGGGAAGGAGCGGTCACCTCCTGGGAAGCCAGACCTGGACCCCAGGAGGCCACACATCCCCAGAAAGGCACAGCATGCAGTCTCCAGCTCACATGGTGCTGCCCATGCTGCTGGTTAGCATGGCCCACCATCCTGGTTTGCCCAGGACTGTGCTGCTGTTAGCACTGGAAGCCCTGCATCTTGGGAAGCCTCTCGGTTCCTGGATGAGGTCCTGTGCACCCCAGCAGTCCACCTGATACTGAGACAGTTAACTCTCCTGGAATGATGGCATTCACTGCCCCCGCACATCCCACTGCCTTTGTCACACCATCTTTATTATATGACTTGCTGGACAAAAGGTGGCCTAGAATGACTGAGAGTACTGCGCTTCTTTCAAACATCTCCCAGTCCAGTGACCTGCACTTCCAGTTCCCAGATACAGAGGCTGTCAGGGGTTTTGTTCAGGGGAAGACTGACATTTTCTCCTAGAAGACAGATTGGTTTTTCTCCTGACCCTCTTTCTCTGCAAACACAGAGAGACATCCTCAACTATTTTCATGGAGTCACACCTCAGACTGTCTCCAAGGGCAGGGACCAGGGCTTGTGATGCACTTTACGACCTCAGTGTAGGTGTGGATTCACCTTCCTCTGTAGATGTAGGGGAGGCTGATGTCAAAATGAGGCTATGGGCCTCAGGGGCACTGGCCTTCAGACAAGCAGCCAAGGGACAAAGTGGGGGCAAGCCAGCATGTTCCAGGCAGGGACACACAGCTCTCATCACCTATGTCCAAAGGTTAGAGTAACACATGGTGGCTTGAGACATGCTGGGCTGCTGGAGACCTGCTCAGCAGGGCCAAAGTCCTAGTTTTCCTTCGGTGGGTTCTGGGGTAGGGGAGGTGTGGGGGTGGACTGACCCTGTGTGGGGTCTGGACAGGGAAGGAGACACCAGGACAGGGAGTTCTTAACCACCACATGTGTGGGCCCTTCCTTCAGGAGCCCTGTTTGCTGGGAGACTGTTACCTGCCAGAAAATAGTGGATGCCAGCGTCTGGTTGGGCAAGAGAAGACCGACTACCTATGAATGAGAGAGAAGAAATGCTGAAAAAGGCAAAAGAAACATCCTATGCTTTCGCAAAGAAAAAATACACTGCCGCAAACGAGTGAGCTGGATCTGTACAAACTGATGTGGTATGCCGTGGACACACAAACTGAGGCCCAATGAGGGAGAGGGTGTGCCATGGGAAAAAACCAAGTTGCAGCATTATATTATAGCATAATCTTATTTATTTAAAGAAAAATCGTCTTATATATATATAACCATATACACAAACGCATGCATACACACACATCTCTAAGCATGAAAAAATCTGTAGCATGGATCTCTCTGGAGGCTGGGTTACAGACTACTTTTGCACAAACTTAAATATTTCTGTATTCTTTTTAACAACAGACTTGCTGCATTATTTCCACAATTGGGGGGCAATAAAAACAAGCAAACAAAAGGAATCCCTTTGTTTCTACGCAGATTACCTGACTTCCTCTCACCCTAGCCATCCCATAAGATTTTTGTGAAAATTAAACAAAAATAATTTCAAAGGCCTTAAGTGCTTTGAAAATACAAGTTGGGGGAATTTGTATGTTATCTGTAAATTTCCATAAAGCAAAAACCTATACCATGTTTAAGTGACTGAATGAAACATAGATTTCTCATATTTGTTGAATGAGTAAAGGAATGAATGAAGAAATAAACAAATATACACATATGGCTAAGTATGGAAACACAGGTGTGGATCCATTATTCCAAAAGCCCAAATAACACCTAAGACCCAGACTTGCTGACTGTTTTTTTTGTTTAAGTCAAGATGAATGGTCTGATTTTGACACTGGCCAAGGCTTGGACTTCAGGGATCCACATGTATCTCTCCAGTTTACCTTTTGAGTGTTTGTAGGCAAAATAACATCTACCAAGTCCCGCTGCATATGGGAAAAATGTGCACAACCATCCACATATTGACTTATTTATTATTCCTATAGATAAAATGGCTCTTTGGCAAGAATTTCTGTAAGGAACAAGTATAAACACTCAATAATATGGAGTAAATCAAATTCTAGACATCCCCAGCAGCATCAGTAAATCATGTTTTAAACATTAAAATGTTTTAAAACAGCGAACACAGACACACACACAATCTATATTTATTGGCTCGTATTGGTTTGAATAAAATTACATAATATAAAGCTATTTCATAGCTCCAATGAGGAATTATGAGATTTTCTCCCCAGAATGAGGTCCCAACTTGATTTTTTTTTTCTTTGCAGTGGCAGCTCAGGGAACTAGAGTGGGAATCAGGGGAACTTGGGTCTTAGACTCGGCTCGGTCCTTGTGTGATCTCTGGCAGAGGATGATCCCCTTTGGGGCTCTAACTTTCTTACCTATGAAAGTGAAAGAATTGACCTCAGTTTAAAATTCTACTCCCAGATTTTGGGTAGTAGGTGTGAAATCAACAGAGACAGTTTCATTGTCTGTAATGGGATCCCATCTGCTAGGGAGTATCCCAGGAAACCATGGACCTCCTCCTATCTGGGGGCCCAGTTAGAAGCCAGACCAGAGGGAGGACGCCAAGCCTAGAAGAGGGGACAGGGACAGGGCGGGGGTTGGGTGAAGGGGAATGTGCTCGTATGTGTAGTGTATGCAGGTCTGACTGCCTCCTACCACTGGAGGAAGTTAATGAGGTTGTTCACTATTTGGAGCCCAACATGTCATCCCCTGATCTGGAATCTACTGAACATGGTATCTTATGGACTACACTGTCTTCTCCCCTGAATCACTACTTACCCCTGGAACTATGCTTGGACCACCATGAACATCCTAAGATACATCCCAGTGGGACTCACTGCATTTAACAGATGACTGCTGTCCAGGACACTGCCCACAACACCACAGGGTTCCCTTTATAATCCTCTTGGGGGAAAGATTTTCCAGTCTCACGGTCAGAAACTGTGCATCTGAGTAACTGGTGTGCCTTGCAGACACTGGGCCATTTAACTGAGTCTCTCTGCACCATCAAGAAGTTCACGCCAGCTCTCTATGGCCATATCTGCCAAGTGTACAGACCCACACTGCTAGATTCTGTGCCCAAACCTCACTCTGGCTTCATTTTATCTTCCCTTTCCTAACCTTCCCTTTGTCTCATTTTCATCTTCACTTGATTTATCTTTAGTGGCATGCATTTTTTTTTTTTTTTTT